CACTGGTCCCGTGATATCCCGGATTATTTGCCACTATATAAGGATCGGTATTATTCTCCCATTCCTTAAACACTGGCAACAAATCCTTATAACTCCAACCGACAGCACCGTATATGTTGGCCCAGTCATCATAATCGCGACGATTACCCCGATTATAGTTCATACCATTATGTGTTGTACTGCCACCCAATGTCTTACCCCTTGGCTCCTTAACCCGACCACCAGGGTATCCTTGTCCATAGTTAGGGCTGGGCTCAGAATAATAGGGCCAATAATTAATACCATCCCTGTATATGTAGTCAATCATCCCGGGTATGTCATTATATGTGGCACTTTGAGCACCTCCTGCCTCAAGCAATAGCACCCGCACTGACTTGCATTCACTGAGTTTGTTGGCCACCACAGCGCCTGACCCACCGGCGCCCACCACTATAAAGTCGTACGTATTATCCCACGTCTCACGTGATGCCGTCCTGTCATGGATTAACTGTCTCTGTGATGTAATCCATGAGAGCACCAGTAGTTTGTACGTTAATAAAAATGCACCAACCATATTTATGGATTTTAAATATCAATACAAATGCTTTTATGTGAATATTTTTAAAAATTCTTATAATTTTGTGTCAATGTTATCATGTTAAACAATTTCATTTGTGCAATGTTATATTTATACAAATATTGCACTTGTTACTTTTATTTTTCTATTATTGTTTTGTTTATCATAACTATTGAATTTCCAATGAGATATAATTATTTCACCTAATTTATCAACTACAATAAACAATCTGAATAATTATATGACCCTGTTAAAATGAAATATTTATTAATTAACTATTTTGTTTACCACATATAAATTGAAATTATTTATTTAAAGCAATAATATAATAATGATATTGCAAGCAATCTACAGTATATATTTTTCAACACTACTAAGGCTGCAATATTTATTTCCAAAAATAAGTTTTTTATTGACTTTGTCAATTTTATATTGATTATTGAATTTGAAGTATTATGTGATTTTATAATCTTCAATTTTATCATATATTACACCAAATTCAACATTATTTTTATAAATGAAATTGATTAATACACAAAATTATCAAATAAATTTACTTTTAATAAATAGCCTACAAAACCTAAGTAAATACAATATTTTAATTAACATTCTTATACACATCTCGGTTATAATTTTGAACATAATAATATTATTATGTTAATTTAATTAATAAGTTTGTTTGATAAATTGGGCGCATTTATAGCCCAGAGTTATAGTGGGGGCCGCGGTGGTGGAGTTGGGAATTGTTGGGAATATCGATGAATCACAAACCCTAAGGTTTTTCACATTTTTAAACCTCAACTGTGGGTCGACCACAACATCGGGTCTGTCTATTGAGCCCTTACGAAAACTACCCACGGGATGATAGGAAGTGGAGCTAATAGTATTGTACAAAGCATTTCACACCTTCTGTGCACTCATACATATACCTGGCCGGTTTACCTCAGAATTAAAAGTGTGTCTATTTAAATGAATTGTCAATTTATTTTTAAAAATATTACATTAATTTTTGATGGTTTTCACTGTCAGTTTTATAACAATTTAGATTTCCAACCTTTTCTGTGATAAAAATAATAAATAATTAAAATAACATCTAAAATTATATAAAATTTATTTAAATTTGTTATAAATCATATAATATTATGGAGTTGTTTTATTATCATTATTTAGGTTTAGTTTATTTTTCTTATCAAACTCATTATCTATCGTATTAACAGGCAAATTCCAGCTCTGTTCATAACCGGGGTCATTACCAAACTGTGTCCGGTGGTCCTCCAGCACCAGATCAGCCCCGTTCTCCCCCACTGCCAGTGCGGCCGCATTTGTATTGGCGTTAATAACTGCTGGAAATACTGACGTATCGATTACTCGCAAACCACTCACTCCCCGCACCGCTTCAGAGAGTAGCTGGTGTTGTAGTCAGGATACGACTGGCGGGTATGCTGTCCACGGGTGGCCTACAGATATTGAAGATGGCTAAACAAATCATTATGTTTATACTATACTGCACGTGAAGGTATCGGGTCCACTCGGACAGTACGAACATCCCGGCACTGGCTGTGGGTTTATGTACACGTACTTCGATATTGACGTCTCCTCTATCATATAGAAAGCATATGATATAGCGTCCAAAATTGCCAGTTTGTCATCAGGGTGTTTTAAGAAATTTTGTTCAATAATAGGCAGCGCTTGTGGGNTCGATATTGACGTCTCCTCTATCATATAGAAAGCATATGATATAGCGTCCAAAATTGCCAGTTTGTCATCAGGGTGTTTTAAGAAATTTTGTTCAATAATAGGCAGCGCTTGTGGGTCTGGTGATCTGAGCCCTACATTACCCACACTTTTAGGTCTGATTAGCACTGAATACACCTCTAGATAGTTGTTATATAATAAGTGTTGGAAATATTGAGTCCATTCACTGAGTCTGTCACCAATTTCAATGCCATTAGTATAGCTCAGTCTCCACTTATTAATAACAGACCCACCAATGACAATATCAGGGTAAGTCCAGTCGACATTTACGCTTGAGTTAAAAAATGTATATGAGATAACTGAGTTGGCTAATGGGCCGGTATATTGGAATAGTGCAGGGTACAATCTATATGTTAACCTTAATTATTTCATGAGATAAAATTATTACTGATGTATCGATATTGACGTCTCCTCTATCATATAGAAAGCATATGATATAGCGTCCAAAATTGCCAGTTTGTCATCAGGGTGTTTTAAGAAATTTTGTTCAATAATAGGCAGCGCTTGTGGGTCTGGTGATCTAACGCTTGAGTTAAAAAATGTATATGAGATAACTGAGTTGGCTAATGGGCCGGTATATTGGAATAGTGCAGGGTACAATCTATATGTTAACCTTAATTATTTCATGAGATAAAATTATTACTGATGTAACCAAAAATATAATATATATTTAAAAATCCATTTTAATTTATTTCTTAAAAATAATGACCACTAATATTTCAATTATTTTATTAATTTGAAGACTGTTTTTAAATCTAAGGATACAATACCATACAATACATTAAAAACCTAATTAATAATTGATAAATATTGTCTACATTTAACAATCAATTTTGAATAAACTGAGATCAAGTTTAAAATGATTTATCATTTGTTTATTTATGTCAAATCATATGTATCTTTAATAAATTGCGAGCACTTGTAGCCAATAGTTATAGATATAGCGGCGGTGTTGGCGTTGGGAAGGGATGGGAATACTGACAAATCACAAACCCTGAGGTTCTTCGCGTACTTAACCCTCAACTGTGGGTCGACCACAACATCGGGTCTGTCTGTTGAGCCCATACGACAACTGCCCGACGGATGAAAAGACGTGAACGAGTTATACTTTATCCAACACATCAACCCCTCTGTGCACTCGTGAATATACCTCCCGGTGCACACCGGACAGCCATAATTAGACAATTTAGGCAGTATAACATATTGAGCCAACTGTGTTTTCTCAAACAAATAAAATTGCATCCTGGTCATCTCTAATGTGTTTTGCACATCATCAGGGTGGGATAACCAGTTTGGGTCTAAAAGTGGATAAACCCTCGGATCGGTTGACTGTAGGCGTACTGTACCACGACTTTTAATACGAGTTAAACAAGATCTAGACATAGATTTGATAAAACTTATAGTAATCTTTATGTTACCATACAGTCCAGGAATACTTAATTCATAAATATTGTCTACATTTCGTCAATTATATTAATATTCAGTATTCAAATAAACTGATAACAAGTTTAAAATGATTTATCATTTATTTATTTATTTCAAATCATATGTATCTTTAATAAATTGCGAGCACTTGTAGCCAACAGTTATAGATATAGCGGCGGTGTTTGCGTTGGGAAGGGATGGGAATATAGAGGCGTCGCATACCCTGAGGTTCTTCGCGTACTTAACCCTCAACTGTGGGTCGACCACAACATCGGGTCTGTCTATTGAGCCCATACGACAACTACCGGACACGTGATATGTAGTGAAAGAGTTATACTTTATCCAACACATCAACCCCTCTGTGCACTCGTGAACATACCTCCCGGTGCACACCGGACAGCCATAATTAGATAATTTAGGCAGTATAACGTATTGAGCCAACTGTGTTTTCTCAAACAAATAAAATTGCATCCTGGTCATTTCTAATGCATTTAGCACGTCATCCGGGTCGGTCAAAAAGTTTGGACGCAATAGTGGGTAAACCCTGGGATCAGTTGACTGTAGGCGTACTGTACCACGACTTTTAATACGAACTAAACTGGACGTGGTCACAAATGAACCATTAAATGTATTGAAAAATAGGTTGACATTGGGCCGTTGTTTATCCTGGTTACTTTTGGTGCTATAGAAAAATATTACAGTTGCGTGTTGTGCGAGTACACCACCAACATCAACCCCTCTGTGCACTCGTGAATATACCTCCCGGTGCACACCGGACAGCCATAATTAGATAATTTAGGCAGTATAACGTATTGAGCCAACTGTGTTTTCTCAAACAAATAAAATTGCATCCTTGTCATCTCTAATGCGTTTTGCACGTCATCCGGGTCGGTCAAAAAGTTTGGACGCAATAGTGGGTAAACCCTGGGATCAGTTGACTGTAGGCGTACTGTACCACGACTTTTGATACGAACTAAATTGGACGTGGTCACAAATGAACCATTAAATGTATTGAAAAATAGGTTGACATTGGGCCGTTGTTTATCCTGGTTACTTTTGGTGCTATAGAAAAATATTACAGTTGCGTGTTGTGCGAGTACACCACCTTGCTCATAGTAGAGTTGACTCAATTGTTTTATATTAATTTGTGCCAATTCATTGACGAGATACAAGTACTCGGGTTTAACCCGTGGACTTAACTCTATATTCGGTTGATTCCTGTAATTGTCACCAACCGGTAGATCAAGTATTACTGGTATCTCAAGACTTTGTAAGTGATCTTTAGGGCCTATACCCGATAGCATTAGTAATTGTGGGCTATTTATGGCACCTAAAAGTAAATCATATATTATTTAAAATAGTATTAAAAAGATTTTGTGTAATAATTACCGCCGGAAACGATAACCTCTTTGTTAGCGTAAACTCTATACTCGATATCATTCCTAATAAACTCCACTCCAATAGCTGTCAACCCATTGAATAGTATTCTTGAGACCAATGCTTTGCNTCCACTCCAATAGCTGTCAACCCATTGAATAGTATTCTTGAGACCAATGCTTTGCAAACGATATGCAGATTGTCTTCGTGTGGATTCGGGTCCACGAATGCATTACCCGTTCCCGACCTAAACCCCTGTCCCGTCACAAATGACTGGATCAACATATACCCCACCTGATTGGCGCCATTGATATCCGTTTCCTTATATCCTAAACCATTCAATGATTTATACAAAACATTGTATATTTTATCTGGACTTTTGGGTTGTGACACTTGAATGGGTCCACTGGTCCCGTGATATCCCGGATTATTTGCCACTATATAAGGATCGGTATTATTCTCCCATTCCTTAAACACTGGCAACAAATCCTTATAACTCCAACNCACTGGTCCCGTGATATCCCGGATTATTTGCCACTATATAAGGATCGGTATTATTCTCCCATTCCTTAAACACTGGCAACAAATCCTTATAACTCCAACCGACAGCACCGTATATGTTGGCCCAGTCGTTATAATCACGTGAATTACCCCGATTAAACACCAAATTATTATGTGTTGTACTGCCACCCAATGTCTTACCCCTGGGCTCCTTAACCCGACCACCAGGGTATCCTTGTCCGTAGTTAGGGTTAGGGCTGGGCTCAGAATAATAGGGAAAATAATTAATACCATCCCTGTATATGTAGTCAAACATCCCGGGCATGTCATTATAGGTAGCACTTTGAGCACCTCCTGCCTCAAGCAATAGCACCCGCACTGACTTGCATTCACTGAGTTTGTTGGCCACCACAGCACCCGCAGCCCCGGCGCCCACCACTATAAAGTCGTACGTATTATCCCACGTCTCTCGTGATGCCGTCCTGTCATGGATTAACTGTCTCTGAGCTGTAATCCATGAGAGCACCAGTAGTTTGTACGTTAATAAAAATGCGCCAACCATATTTATGAATTTAAAATATCAATACAAATGCTTTTATGTGAATATTTTTAAAAATTATTGTAATTTTGTGTCAATTTTATTATGTTAAACAATTTAATTTGTGCCATGTTATATTTATACAAATATTGCACTTGTTACTTTTATTTTTCTATTATTGTTTTGTTTATCATAATAACTATTGAATTTCCAATGAGATATAATTATTTCACTTCATTTATCAACTACAGTAAACAATCTGAATAATTATATGACCCTGTTAAAATGAAATATTTATTAATTAACTATTTTGTTTACCACATATAAATTGAAATTATTTATTTAAAGCAAAAATATAATAATGATATTGCAAGCAATCTACAGTATATATTTTTCAACACTACTAAGGCTGCAATATTTATTTTTAAAAATAAGTTTTTTATTGACTTTGTGAATTTTATATTGATTATATTGATTAAGTATTGAATTTGAAGTATTATGTGATTTTATAATCTACAATTTTATCATATATAACGCCAAATTCAACATCATTTTTATAAATAAAATTGATTGATCCGCAAAATTAACAAATAAATTTACTTTTAATAAATAGCCTACAAACCCTAAGTAAATACAAAATTTTAATTAACATTCTTATACACATCTCGGTTATAATTTTGAACATAATAATATTATTATGTTAATTTAATTAATGACTTTGTTTGATAAATTGGGCGCATTTATAGCCCACAGTTATAGTGGGGGCCGCGGTGTTGGAGTTGGGAATTGTTGGGAATATCGATAAATCACAAACCCTAAGGTTTTTCACAACTGGGGATCGACCCCAACATCGGGTCTGTCTATTGAACCCATACGACAACTACCCCCGGGATGATAGAAAGTGGAGCTATAGTATTGTGCAAAGCATTTCACACCTTCTGTGCACTCATACATATACCTGGCCGGGTTAGCTAGGAATTAAAAGTGTGTTTATTTTAATGAATTGTCAATTAATTTTTTAAAATATTACATTAATTTTTGATGGTTTTCACTGTCAGTTTTATAACAATTTAGATTTCCAACCTTTTCTGTGATAGAAATAATAAATAATTAAAATAACATCTAAAATTATATAAAATTTATTTAAATTTGTTATAAATCATATAATATTATGGAGTTGTTTTATTATCATTATTTAGGTTTAGTTTATTTTTCTTATCAAACTCATTATCTATCGTTTTAACAGGCAAATTCCAGCTCTGTTCATAACCGGGGTCACTACCAAACTGTGTCCGGTGGTCCTCCAGCACCAGATCAGCCCCTTTCTCCCCCACTGCCAGTGCGGCCGCATTTGTATTGGCGTTAATTACTGTCGGATATACTGACGTATCGATTACTCGCAAACCATTTACTCCTCGCACTCGAAGTCTCTCATCGACCACAACATCAGTCCTATGCTGACCGCCCATACGACAGGTGCCCACCGGATGTCTATAACTTCTACCGATTTGTTTAGTAATACAAATATGATATGACGTGCACTTCCATA